TGCTGGCAGGCTTGCACCTGGCACGGGCACCGTAGCCAGCCCGTGCCCCTTTAAGGGGTCCAGGGCCAGGAGGAGGGCAGAAGAGTTTCCCTGGTGTTGGCCAGAGTGGCCACCAGGGAAACCTGGGGAGGGCTAGCCTCCCACTAGTTCGAACTAGGCTTAATCCTCGTAAAATGAGGTTTTCCTAGTTTGAACTAAGTGCTCCGTTAGTTCAAATTAAATTCGAACTAACGGAGTGCTAGTGTAGCGCCTATGAAAGTTAGTTCGAACTAACCTCCGTTAGTTCGAACTAACTTTGTAGTGTAGACATACCCTTACAGAGCCTGTATCCCGAACCTCCTCCTGAACCCCAACTCCCTAATAAAGTGATCCATGCAATTTTAAATCAGTGTGATTCATAATCTTAGTTGTTATGTACTTGGGAAAATATATGGAAAGTACATAAAATAAATGAAATACCAATATATGTGCATTTTCTCTCTGTCTCTGTCTCTCTTTCTATCTCTTTTTAAAGGCCACTATGAATTTGTCTATTATAACCACAATTCAGGACTGAATTTAAATTCAAAAAGTGATCTTCTGCTTAAAAAGGCTGGAGACCCCTGCACTACATGCTACACGTAGATCACTTGTTCCAGTGGCCTAAACTCTTCTAAAGGCTGGTCCTTTAGGCGATGTCCACACCACATGCTTATTTCAAAAGAAGCTATTTTGGAAAACAGAGTTCCGCTAGAGCTTATTTTGAAATAGCACGTCCCCACTACAAATGCCCCTCGAAAGAGTGCTGAGCTATTTCGAAATAGAGCTTCTGATTGAGTTTCAAACAAGGACGCCTGTGAGACTCTCACCTGGGCCTTCCCACAAGGGGCCTCTGCAGGACTCCTTTCTGCCTTTCCTGCCCCACCCCTTCCTCCTCCTGCCCTGTTGATAAAATAAACCAGACTTTTTGTTTTGAACCAAGCAACTCTATTTTTTGTTTAGTTGGGGTAAATGTAACTGAGGAGGGGCTGGGGAAAGACTGGGGAGGTGGGGGGGAGAAGGGAGAAGAAGGGGGAGGAGAAGCTCAGGCATGGGGATGGGACTAGTGCCTGCCTTGGTGGTCCTACCACCTCATGTGTGGGGCCCTCAGCAGCTACGGGAGAGTTTGGGGGAGAAGCTGAAGGAGTGGGAGCTGGGGCAGGAGCAGGATGTGGACAAGGGCACTGAAAGCTGTGCACATGGTCTGGCCCCACTGCAGCAGCTCCTACCGGGTGCTACGGCACAGCTCCAAGTCAGTCGGCAGCCTGCAGTCCAGGGAGCGCTGGAGAGCATTCAGGCAATGTGCTCCCACTGCAGGTCTTCATAGGGTGACCTTCACCTGTTGGCCACACAAGATTGGGGGCTGGCACGGCAGATGTGGCTTGTGCCCCACTCACAGCTGGTGCAGCTGTGAAGAAAAGCGAGAAGGACAGTCATCCCTGGAGACACCGTACTAAGCCCACCCTTCATCTCTGAGCTGACACCGAAAGGTCAGACGAAGACGATGTGTTTTGAGCAAGGCCATCTGTGACCTAGACAATGGGCCCCTACCTGCAGGGGCACAGATGTCCCAGGGAGGAGCCTTGCTGCCCCTTCACCTTGGGAACAAGCAGGCATGGAAGCAGGGAAGGTGCCAGCCAGGCTGTGAGCCTGCGGGTGGAAGCAGGGGGTGACAGGAAAGCTCATTTTCCCTCCTTGCTGTGCACACGCCAGGTCTGGCACTAGCAGTGCCCCACTGGGAGAGAACTTATACATGCCTGCTGGAGGAGGTGGGAGAAGGGTGTTGCGATGGTGGGGGGGGGGCGTGGATGGCAAATGCTGCTTGCTGGGGAGGGTGCTGCTGGAGTCTCCTCCAGTTCCTCCCCCTCCTGGCAGGCTCCTATGGCAGGGGACCAGGGTCCTCTGCCTTGCCACACTGGCCCGGGAGCGTATGCTTCCCCAAGAGTGCTTGCATGCCTATGTGCCATGTGCAGGGCACTGCTGTGTGTGTGTCTGCGACCCCATCCCTAGTGGTGGCTTGTGGTGGGAAGGTGTCCCACCACGGAGTCGGGGGTAAGGCAGGCCTCTGTGAGCAGGAGCGCAAGGCTCCTGAGCGGCTACCTCATTGCGGCTGAGTGCTCTAGACTAATGCTCCATGTGCTCCCACATGCACAGGCTGTTGTGTGATCTCGAGAAGGCTGGGCGAGGAGTACGCAGCCCCTTGCCACCCACCACCTCCCCCCACGTGTGTCCAGGGAAAGTAACAACTCACCTGCTGGTCCTTCACCGGCCTCATCGGAGCCCTTCTGGGGCTCTGACATTCTGGGAGGGGGGTACCGGCTCCAGGGACAGGATGAGGTCCTGGCTGCTGGGCATGGTGTTTGTGCTGGCCACCTTCTCCTCGTCCTTCTTCTCTTTCTCAGCTATGCCTTCTCGGAGGCTGACAACAGAGTGGGGGTCCAGGCTGGAGTCAATGACAAGGGGAGGGGAGACGACCTGCCCTCCTCCCAAGATGCCATCCAGCTGGGTGAAGAAGTGGCAGGTTTGGGGTGCTACTCCCAATAGGGAACGTCTTTCCCTGGCCTTGCCATAGGCCAGTTGGAGTTCTTTAATTTTCATTCGTACCTGGTGCAGAATGTGGCTGTGCCCCCTCTGGACCAGGCTGTCAGCCATCCAGCCACAGACATCTGCATTTCGCTGTCTGGTGCGAAGATCCTGGATGGATGTTGACATGTTCCTTCCAGATCTCAATGAGATCCTGGATCTCCGTGTCAGTCCACGAGGGGGCCCTCCTCTTTCGCCCCCCGAAGGAGTGCAGCACCAAAAGCAGTCAGGGTTCTGCTATGTGGCACAGTGAGAGCTAGGCCTCTTTTAATTAATGGAGATTGCCTATCTCCTAGAACTGGAAGGGACCTTGAAAGGTCATCGAGTCCAGTCCCCTGCCTTCACAGCAGGACCAAGTACCATCCCTGGCAAATTTTTGCCCCAAAATGGCCTCCACAAGGATTGAACTCACAACCCTGGGTTTAGCAGGCCAATGCTCAAACCACTGAGCTATCCCTCCCCCACTTTTGTGCCACAAGCCCTTTCCCTTGTGGCTGCAGCTTTATAGTTCCCCTCCTCCTGCAGCCCTTACAGTTCTGATGAGTATGGACAGAGTGGCCACCAGCGCACCTGTGGGAAGACCTGGAGGCCACTTTATTTTGAAATAACACAGCTGCTCCATTTACACACACCTTATTTTGAAATAGGTGTTTTTCCTCATACAAGGAGGGTTACAGAATGCAGAATAAGAACCCCATTATTTTGAAATTATTTCAAAATAACACTGCTGTGTAGACATGCCCTTACGCACTCTTGCCATGCCAGTGTGGGAACTTGTGTTTGTAGGTTTATTTAAATGAGCTACATATACCTGGTTAAGTTCCCACATTCCTGTTCCCTGGATCCTCGATGGATCAGGTGGTCGGAACATTTGGTTATCTTGGTATTGAAGAAATTGATTTCTTTTCAGCTCTCCTGTCACTAGAAACTTTTATAAGATACTTTGCACTTCTGCAGTGTCTTCCCTTCAAGGATCTTGAAGTGAGTTACCTAAGTTGTGACGCTCCCCTGAAAAAATAGATATGTTCATTATATAAATGCGGAAACTAAGGTTGAGAAATTGAGTTACTCATTCAAGGTCATACAACATACCAAGGTTGACCTTGCAGATTTCATAAGAGCATCAGAATGAATGGTTTACTCTACAAAGCCAAGAAGTCGTGCCACTGAAATGTTTATGAAAGGCACAGAATAACTTACATTTCAACAAGTTGCATGTACAGAGTACGTTTTATTCACTGTCGAAGTACTTTCCTGTAATAAAAAGTAAAAACTTTCTGCAGCATAATTATATCACAGTGATCCAAAATTACACTGCAGTGTATTTAGCTATGTAGCTTTTATTCTTTCCCACTCTCCCCCCAGAATATTTTATCTTTAAATCTCTAAGGACAGCAGTTTGCTAAGACAGGGAGCTATTCTGTGTTCAGTTCACTACTATCTGCAGAGACACAGTCTCTCATGGGGTCTTTGCTTAGGTTTTTTCTTGTTTTGTTGCTGTGTTCATCTAAAACAAAGCATCTTTCAGACTAATTTAGTTGCTGTTTTTGCCCTGAAAATACATAAACACCAATTACTTCCAGATCATAAGTAGTGAATACCATGTTAAGTTGGTATGTCTGCAAAATAAACATAACATGCATAGTTTTAGGTTCTTAACATTAAATGACCATGAAATAAATAATAGGTTTTGTGGAAGGTAGATGGCAACCACGTATTGAAAAATACAGCAGCTAGATGAGGGAGACCAGATAGCAAGGTTGAAAAATGTGGACACTTTCGGGAGAGAAGAGAGTGCTGGTGGCA